TAAAATGAGCCACACATCTCATTCTAAATTTTCTTGTTGTTAGATTCTGACTCATGGTGATCACATGTATGCAGAGGAGAACTTCTCCACAGGGTTTTCAAAGGCTGATCACCAGATCTGTCTTCCAAGGCATCTCTGGTGGGTTTGAACTGCCCACCTTTTGGCTAGCAGTTGAGCCCTTAACTACTTGTGCCACCCAGGGACTTCCTTTAAATTTTCTAGTGGTTGCATTCAAAAGTAAAGTTAAATTAATAATATTTTTTGTTTAGCCCAATACATCCAAAATATTATCATTTCAACATAGAATGCATACAAAAATTAATAATGAGGTATTTTATGTTATTTTTTCCAAATGAAGTCCTTGGAATGTGATGTGTATTTTACACTTACAGCTAATCTCAATTCAGATCAACCACATCTCAAGTGCTGAATAGACATGTAAACTCACTGCCCTGGAGTCGGATCCAACTCATGGCAACCCCTCCTTGGATTTCTGAGGCGGTATCTCTACAGAAGTAGATTGCCCAATCTTTCTTCCAAGGAGTGGCTAATGGGTTTGAACTGCCAGCCTTCTGGTTAGCAGTCAAATGCCTTTAGGCACTATGCCACCAGAGCTCCCAGTAGACATGTGGCTGTTGGCTATCAGTGCAGCTGTTGTTGTTGTTATGTGCTGTGGAGTCTGCCCGACTCATAGCAACCCCTCCTTGGGTTGCCAAGGCAGTATCACTATGGAAGTAGATTGCCCAACCTTCCTTCTGAGGAGTGGCTGGTGGGTTTGAACCGCTGGCCTTCTGGTTAGCAGTCAAGTGCCTTAGGCACTATGCTACCAGAGCTCCTATCAGTGCAGCACTAAGGTATAAATGAATAATAGACCCAGGGTGCCCCAACCAAAGAAAGAAGCCTTCAAGTGGTGAGATTTCAGGCACCCAAGACCAATAGGTGGGCCTGGTCTTCAAATCACACAACAAAGGTGCCATCTATTTCTGCCACCAGGGCCTGTGGATTCACAGGATGCGGTGGATAAAGCAGTTTTCTACAGCATTCAAACAGGATTGAACTCAAATCTTAGTTCTGCCATTTTCTAGTTATATGATGTGAAACAAGATGCCTAAGGCACTTGACTGCTAACCAAAAGGCTGGTGGTTCAAACCCACCAGACATTCTTCGAAAGGAAGATTGGGCAATCTACTTTCATAGTGATACTGCCTTGGAAACCCAAGGAGGGGTCGCTATGAGTCAGGTCCGACTCGACAGCACATAACAACAACAACCACCTTGAAGTTTATTTCCTTACATGTAAAATAGTATACAGCTCCAGGATCATGCTTGTGTAGCCACCAGCCCATACCAGTCACCTAATATGTCCTAGAAGCTTAGTTTTGCTAGACTACCAGGATGCCCTGTGTGGACCCTTTACTACTCTCTGGACCATCAGCACGATGGCACCTCTTCTTGAGATTCTCATTTTCCTTCCAAGAGCCTGGCATTGGCTGTACCCACTGCCCCTGGAGCCATCTCTTACACTCATTCTTTTGAGAGGTGTTTATCAGCTACCCACTATGTGCCAGACCCTGTGCGAGGCACTATGGTTTCAGCAGAGAAAAAGATAAGCACAATTTGTTTTTGCAGAGCCCAGGGTTCATCAGGGGAAACAGATCCTGAACAAGGTTTGACTCAGACTTAAGTGGGTATAAAGCAGATACCAACAAAACAGCTCACTGTCATCTAGTCGATTCTGACTCATAGCAACCTCCATTGGGTTTCTGAGGCAGTAAAATTTTATGGAAGTAGATTGCCCAGTCTTGCTTCTGCGGAGTGACTGGTGGGCTTGAACCACCAACCTTCTGGTTAGCAGTCTGATGCCCTAGGCACTGTGCTACCAGAGCTCTTTATAAAACAGATACTTCTTAAAAATTAACTTCTACTCTGAATGCCCATCCTACCGGATCAACAAGAAAGTCAACCTCAGCCTTTTTCAAGGCTTCCCCCATCAAGATGCAGCAAAGGTCCTGAAGTTTTACATGGTACCCAGGCACAATGGAGACCTCACCTCTACCCAAGAAGCATCAACCCACACTGGTAACTATGGAGATGCCTGACTCTAGCCCAAGTGGTCCCTCTTAGCATGCCTGGAGTAGAGGGACATTGGCATGTCTCGGAACATGGCAGACCAAGGCCCAGATCCCTAGGTCAGCTGCAGCCTGCCTCTCTGAGGTCAACTGTTTCTTTGGGTCCTGTCTCATAGGTACATGGCTCCCTGCTGTTCTCAGACCCCAGTCTTTCCCCCTCCTCCTTGGAGTCTCCCTCTCACCTCACACGGCTCCCTAATACCCAGAATGATCTTCTCAATGGGCTCAGGCTTTAGAAACAAAAGTCCAGAAGGAACATCTTGCAGCTGATTACTGCTATCTACCCTGCCATGAACTCCCTGAGGATAGAAAACCTAGAGCCTGGTACCTGCTAAAATGAAAGGAGAGGAGAAAAGGAAAACCCCAAGAGAAACTGACACAGGCAAATAATTATTTAAATGAATTATCTTTCCGCCAACTTTGATTGAGAGAGGAAAGCAGGTGGAGAAGGCTTAGAACCTGGCCCTAGAATTTCCCCATGGTGGGTGGCAGGCATGGAGGTTCCAAAATGTGGAAAGTCCAGCATTTGTCTCATTTGGCTCCTTAAAGTATCAGACCAGAGGGTGCAGCTTGGGGGGACTTGCCAGAGAATCCCAAATGGGTTCTCCAGCCTTACCTGTCCTCCCCGTGGCACATAGCATCCCCAGCCAAGGGGGAGCTATTTTCTAATTGCACGCTCTACCAAAAACCATGCAATAGAGAAGATTCTGATTCACAGCAACCCTACAGGACAGAGTAGAGTTGCCCTAGAGGGTTTCCAAGGCTGTAATCTTTATGGAAGCAGACTGATACATCTTTCTCCTGAGGAGATTCAAATAACTGACTTTTCGGTTAGCAGCTGAGTGCTTAACCACTGCACCACCAGGGTTCCTGCACACTGTCAGTTATAAGGAACTCACTTCCTCCCAGGTCAGCCTTTCCCAAACTGCCCTTTACATAGGGCTTAAGTCTTTCTCCCTGGAACTTGTTGTTCCTGATTTTGATCTCGGCCTATATAGAAAAATGGAGTGAAACCAGACCCCATGTGATCACTTATGCAGATCATGCTGTGCAAGTAGCAACTTCTCCAAGACTTAGTTTTCTCATCTAGAAATGTGCACATAGTAGTACCTGCCTCAACACGTTTTTGTGTCGGAGACAATGCAGGTAGAATATCTTGTTTTCCTTCTTGCCTTCTACACAGGCTCTGAAGTCAAACTATCTGGGTTCATATCTTAACTGGACCACTTACTAGCTGTGTCACCTGAGGCAAGTTATTTCATTTCTCTTTGTCTCAGTTTTATCATCTGAAAAATAAGGATTCAAATGGCACTTACTTCAGAATGTTCTTGTGAGGTTTCAATGAGTTAATTAATTGAAATTCTTACAAAAGAGTCCAGCATATACTATGTGCTTAGTAAACATTTACCATTATTTATTGGACTTTCCTTCCTCCTTTTTGACAATCAGAAGGCTGTGACTGTGTCCCCCTAAGCCTTCTCTTGCCTAGGATTAAAGACTTCTCCTCCAGGGATTGTGCATAGGATACCCCAGCCAGGTGCAGGGACACCCTCTAGGTTGCCTGTGGCTTCCTCACAGTGTGGATCCCAGAGCTGAGCACTTCTGGTGTGGCCTTACTCATCCTAGGGAAGAAAGGGGACTGTTGTCTCTTGCATTCCCCAAGCCAGTTCCCCTCCTGTCATAGCATAGAATAGAACAGAATGAGCCTGTAGGCCCAAACCACCCCAATTTCTTGTCACCCCCTATTACTGGAGATTCCTGCTCATGGTGACTCTCAAGGTGATTACAGCCATGGGTGATGTAATAACTGAAGATGGAGGTGTGGTAATAGCCATGTTGGTGATGTGAGTGGTGGTAGTGATGAGAGAAAGTGACAGTGGTAAAGTGTCGGTAATGATGGTGATAGTGACACTGATGGTGGAATGGAATCGGTGACATTGATAGCAATGGTAACAGTGACATTAATAATGATATTGGTAATGGAGACATTGTTGGTGATGGTGGTGTGGTGATGGGACTGTTGAGTTGATGGTGGTGTTTTTATGATACTGTTATTTGTAGAGATGAGATTGGTGACACTGGTAGAGACAATAGTAGGGATAATGATGATATTAAAGTAGTGATATTGATGCTGATAATCATGATATTGGTGATTCTGAAGGTTCAGGTGATGATGATAATGATGGTATCAGTGTTAGTACTGCTGGTGGTAACCATGCCAGAGATGATGATAATGGTAATGAGAATATTGGCCACTGTGATATTCAAATTGTACTGATGGTGGTATTGATGATGTTGGTGATTTTAATGGGGGAGATATTTAAGGTGATGGGAATAGTGATAATGAATCTAGTGGTTATGGTGAAAATTTTCATGGTAATATGGTGATCATTATGATAATAATGGTGAAGACAATTGGCTGTGTAGACACGGGTGATGGTATGGCCAAATATGAAAAGAAAAGAAAAAAACCTCACTGCCATCAACTCGATTCCAACTCAGAATCACTCCCATTGGATTTCCAAGGTGGTAAATCTTTACGGAAGTAGATTACCCCATCTTCCTTCCACAGAGTGGCTGGTGGGTTTGAACTGCCAACCTTCTGGTTAGCAGTCAAATACCTTAGGCACTATACCACCAGAGTTCCTTATGGCCAAATCTAGCCACCGGAATTTCATTAATTCTTTCAAAAACATTTGTCAAGTGTCTATAGTGCCAAGAACAAATAGAGCAATGTTGGTGCCCATTGCTGCTGACAGGAGACAGAACTCTCAACCTCTTCCCTCCAAGAGCCCCTGCCCTAGCCCACAGCCATCTCTAAGCAGGGTCTCCAGCATCCAGCTGACAGCCCTTGGTTATGTATCCCTCCAGGGTGAGGGCTCCTCTTCTGAGCAGAGCCTTGGAGAATACCCAGAGAAGCAGAGTGATCTAACCAAGTTTACACCACACCTGACTGTGATCCAGTTCATCAAAGGTAAGTGAGCTCCAGTTCAGGCTATGGGGAGGCTGGATTAGAACGGCATTCGAGGCATAACAGAATCCAGACCCTTCTTGCCTTTCTTGATTCATCTTCCATGCCTACAGGATCCTCATTAGCACCTGCACATTCCTTATGAGTCTTTGCTCATACAATTCCTTCTGCCTGGAACATCATTTTCTGTTGCTGCCTATCAAAATCTTCCCTGTCCCTCTAAATTATGCTCAAGGACCACTCCTTCCTCCATCATTCCTGGCTCTCCAGTCAGCATGTCTGCTTCCCTCCCTCCTCTGAGTCCTCAAACCTTCAGAGCCTCTGTTTCAACTTAAATCTGTGCCATGCATTTGTCTGCAGTGAGCTCCTAGAGGTTAAGGTTTGGGCTGGCTCATCCGTGACCTCTGTTTTCATCCCACTCTCCACTGACCCTGCAAACAGGAGGCCCTCAGATAACATTTGCTGAATTGCCAGGTGGCAGCATTGGGCGGAGAGAGCTCTGTCTGGTCTGAAGGCCAAAAACCTGGGTTTTCATTCTGAGTCGCTGGTCATTCTGGAGCCTCCATTTCTCCATCTGTACAGTGAGAAGCCAACTCAATGAGCTAAGGTCCATGCGAAATCAATCAGTAACCAGAGTGTGTGTTGTGATGGGGTCATCTTTTCTAAAGATCTCAATTCTATGAACATTGATTTAGTGCCTGCTGTGCACAGGCTCTTGTAGAGCACTGAACAGCAAGTCAGAAGACCTGGATTTTAATTCTGCACCTAACACTGACCAATGTAAATCTTGCAGAAGTTACTCTCCTTCCCTAAGCTGAGTTTCCTCATCTGAAAGATAGTGGTAATGACAATGGCCATTGTGAGATTCAAATTGTACTGACAGTTTTGAGTAGTGATTGAGTCACCAATTCTTGTTCTATCTCTCTCAAAGACTGTTGTGAAAATCAAATGGGATGATGAATGAAAAGCCCTTTCTATATGATTAAAAAAAAAAAAAAACTGTACTTGTATAACAAAAAAAATGCTTCAATTACCACACCTACCCTACTGTCATTATTCTAACCATGTCCCAGCTGCCTATGATTTAAGAAGAGTGATAACCACAGGGTTCGCTCAATCCCTGAGGATTTTCACAACAGGAAGTAATTAGGCCCAATTCTTGAGAAGAACTTTCTGACATTTGATGTTGGGATACCAGTAATCTAGCCTCTGGTTCTAGCTTTTCAGGGAAAGGAAAGATCTGGCCTCCATGAGGTAGGCCTAGAGGCAGGGGCTTAGACTTTCTGACCTCAGGTACTCCACAGCTGCTGGAAGGGTACCATGGAAGAGCATATTAATAACTACTTGGCTCCTGCCCAAAGGGAGCTAGGGCTAGTCCCTGAAAGTGTATCCTAGAGTAGGTATCCTGCTCAGATTGTCTCTGGTGGTTTCAGTTTATACATTAGCCTGGGGAAATTGAGGCAGGGCTGGCCATAGGCCCTGTGGCCAGTCAGCTTACCAGCTTCTGGGTTTCTGGTAAGCTCCAGAGGAACCAGTATGACCCTGGGGCCTGACCTTGACCACCTAGGCAGAGGGGAGGCAGAGAGAGATAGAACCATGGTCCTTCAATTGGAGGACCCCTAGACTGTTGGGGAAGACAATGTCCCTGACCTAGGGTAGACTTTTGTCTGATTGTGGAGATTTAGTCCCTGATCTGAGGGAGGTCCTTGTCTGATGGAAGAATGGAGGGAGAATCTGCTTTGTCTTATGGAGTATACCTGGCCTTTATAATGGAGGAGGTCATTGGCTGATGGGGGAGACATAGTCCCCGAGCTGGAGGAGGACCTGGCTTGTCTGATGGAGGAGACTTTGTACTGAGCTAAGGGAGACTTCTGTCTAATGGAAAAAAACTATCTCTGAGCTGGAGGTGGCTCCTGGAGTTCCCCTTCAGGTATCTCTGTCTAAGTGAAAGGCATAGCCCCTGCCCTCCAGGAATTTTCCATCTGTTCTGGAGACAACTGCAGGTGCTGAGAAGAGATGAAGGATGAGTGCAAAGCACACTGCAGTGATTAGTACAGGAGACTGGCTGAAAGAGGGAGAGAATGAGCAAAATGGAGTTCTCTGGAGTCAGGCAACCAGAGAGGCATAGGACTAGGGGGTGGGAGATAGAAGGGGAATGGCCCCTGGACTAGGAGCTAGAACTAATGCAGGGGCAAATGCTGGTCCTGCCCTAGCCTCTGGATGACATTGGGCCAGTCCTCGCCCTTCTCTGGGCTCCAACTATAAATGAGGGCACCTGTACAACTTGAGCCAAGCCCAGATTAAAACTCCATTTCCCTCGCAGGGTATCAGATGTCCCGACCAGGGTAGCTTGTGGAGGCAAGGAGGCTGGAGTAGCTACATGGAGTGAGACCCAAGCATCACAGCTCCCTACTCCAAATGCTGACTGGATGCATCATGTATGTGGCAAGGCACTAGAGACTGGAGCCAGCCCTAGGAAATAAAGGATGGGGAATTCCACAGTCCCAACCTCTTCCTCCTGTCTGGTCTGTTTGTCTTTGTTTTCTGGCTCCTAAGGAAACATCTCCTGGCCCTGCTAAGGGGGCTGGGGATCCAGCTGGCTTGGCCATGCTCTGTGGACAGATAGACATAAATCTTCTCCTGTAAGAGAGGCCCTGGTCTTGCTGCTGCAGGAGCAGAAGGAATTCTCCTTCCCTCCTCCCTCCTTGCCAGAGGACCCCCTCATCTTTCCAGTGGCTTCCTCCTCTGATGCCTCTTCTTAGAAAGGCCTTTCCTCCTCTCCCCACATCTGGCGTCTAACATCAATCTTGCCTACTGCAGGCAGAAACACATCCCTCCCTCTCATTGCTAGTGGAAAGTCACATGTCAGACAGAAAGTATTCCCAGACATCAACTTGGGTGCTCCTACCAATGAACTCACTGGAATTCGAAAGGGAAGGGACTCACTTGATGCTGAGTACCCTTCACTTCAACAGACTTGCAGTGGGGGCAATCTGTGAATGATGCCCCGTTTTAGGAGCTAGCAGGGGGTTGGGAAGATCACCAATGCTAGAACAATCACTTCTGTTCCTGTCCTTTTCTGGGAATCCACCACCACTGCCACCCCACCCCATCTCCACCTCCCCAGATCATCCTACTCTTTAAGATCTAGAACCCAGACAGGGGCCAGGGAAGGCTTCTTAAGCTGAAGTGACACTGAAGCTGAATAACAGGTATAGAGGCCTTTTGACTGGAAGGCTTGGGTCATTCAAGAAACTCAGAAGTACCTGAGCACATGGGGGGGGAGGGGGGCCTGCAGATGAGACTACAGAATGAAACAGCCAGGCCAAGGAGAATGACCTTGGTCATGTGAGGGATGGGACACATGGGAGGGGTTTGAGCAGGGGAGTAACTGCAGTTTATAATCACAACCTTTATCCCCTTGTGCTATATATAATTTGGGTGTCTCTGGGTCTGTCTCTACCATTAACATATGAACCCCTTGAAGGATAGGATTAGGAGCGATTCAGCCCTATGATTGAGTACCTAGGGCTGGCACACACTAGCCATCAGGGTATGTGTGTCAGGAATGTGGAGAATGAGGGCACTTGTCCAGCTTACAGCCCCCGGCTCACAGCTGAGACCCAGGCAGAGGCTCAGCCCAAGCAAACTAAGTAGAAGAAAAAGGGGCTCAGCATATCTGGTGCACTCACGCAAGGACCCACACATATGAAACCTAGTATGTTCCATAGCCTGGGATGGAGGAGGCAGAGTACACCCAGGGGACAATTACCCAGCAAGGGAGACATGCCTCCTTGAGGGCTAAGGGGGCAAAGTGGGCAGGAGTTTGAGAAGACCAGAGCAGTTAGACTTTCTGGAGAAGGGATGATCAAGCCTGACCTGGAAGGGGGTAGAGGTGGGAGGGATAGACCAGGAGCACTGGGGCACACAGCTCATGACCGGTTGTAAGGGCCCAACTTGAGAGAGAGTACCAGGAAGAGCAGAAAGGAGGGGGAAGGAAGGATGCAACAAACTGATCACACTCTATGCCCAGTCCTGTGCTAGGAACACAAACAAGAAGAAAAAGACCTGGGCTGGCTTGGAAAGAGCTATAGCAGGACAGGACAGAATGGTCTTGGGGGGGTGGGGGGATGAATAAGTGAAATGGAAAACCTGAAATGAGATGGAACAGGGTGAATGAAGTAGAATCAAATAGATGGCATGGAGTAGAGTTGCATGGAATGGAACAGGATTTTGTGAAATGGATTAGAGGTGAATGGAAAGGAACAGAATTTAATACAATGCAGTATAATTAAAGGGAGTAGAATGGTGAGAAACAGCATTTCAAAAATGGAATAGAATGAAATGATATGAAGTAAAATATAATGGAATCTAAATGAATGCAGCAGAATTAAGTGGAGTGGAATAGGGTGAGATGAAAAGGGAAAGAACAGAATGAAAAGGACTGGAATAGAATATAGTAAAACTAGTTTGAGGAGGAACAGAGTTAAACGAACAGGGCAGGATGGCACAGAAGCTCACGGCATGACCTGACCTCCCTTTGCCCCTACAGCATTCCCCAGGGTGCTGCTGCGGACCCTGCGCCACCCCATCTTCCTGCTGGTGGTCCTGGCCCAGGTGTGCACGTCGTCCTTAGCAGCAGGCTTAGCCACCTTCCTGCCTAAGTTTCTGGAGCGCCAGTTTTCCATCACCGCCTCCTATGCCAACCTGCTCATTGGCGGCGTCCTCATACCTTCGATCATTGTGGGCATCGTGGTGGGAGGTGTCCTTGTCAAGAGGCTCCACCTGGGCCCTGTGCACTGTGTCACCCTCTGCCTGCTGGGAGGGTTGTTCAGCCTCCTATTCAGCCTGCCCCTCTTCTTCATTGGCTGCCCCAGTCGCCAGATTGCCGGCATCAGCCCCCAGCCTCTGTGAGTATGTATGTGTGTGAGCAAGAGTGTAAGCATGGGGGCAGGGGGATGGAACAGGGAGAGGGGTGGCCCCAGATGGGGCAAGCCAATGAGGTATCCATCTACCACAAATCTCACCCCTCACTGTAGCCCTCTACTCCCTCCTCTTGCCTAAAATCTAGTCACTCACCTGGATCAGTTGCAAGAGGTGGAGTAGTCTTTCTTGAAGAAGAAAGACTGAAAGAAGTAGTTCCAGTGACGGATGGAACTGCAGGACAAGAAAGCCCAGGCCAGGGTAGAGGGCGGAGGTTGAGACAGGGAACACCCCCTGTATTGAGGAACCTCCAGAGTGATGGGGCTCTGTGGGCTCAGTGGAGGAGGGGCAGAAAGGCATCATGGGGGGCAGGATTCATCTCAGCCAGAGGAATGATTTTGCTCCCAAGCAGAGGAAAGTCCTGTCCAGGAGAGATTGTATTTGCATCTCCATCCATGAGGATGAGGGTAGGAGGTGAAGGGAGCAGGAATGGAGTAGCCCCTACTGGGAAGGTTTCTTTAGCGACATATATACTAAAAAAAAAAAAAAAAAAAAACCTCACTGCCGTTAACTTGATTCTGACTCATAATGACCCCCTGGGTTTCTGAGGTGGTATCTCTACGGCAGCAGATTGCCCAGTCTTCCTTCCAAGGAGTGGCCAATGGGTTTGAACCTCCAGCCTTCTGGTTAGCAGTCAAATGCCTTAGACGTTACGGCACCAGAGCTGGGAAGGGTTTACACTGGAGACCTCAAAGATTCATGGTTCTTAGAGTCCAGGAGCTAAAGTTCTGTCCTTCTATGACTCTAAAATTCCAGAATTCTTTCTCAAATCTGTGAGGTAACACCTGCTTTCATCACCTGGGAATGAGGCCCCTGATCTCTTGTTTCCTTCTATTCACTCACCTCCCCCCAACACAAACATGTGCATGCCTCTCTTGCCTTGGGAGCCATGTTAGAGAGGATGTTGGAAGCTGCTTTCCTGCTTCTTCTCCAAAAGGATTTCACTTTTTCCTGGGAACTGCTCCAGGAGGATCAGTTGAGATTGATCCAACACCCAGCCTGAATTCCCCAGCTTTCTCTGTCCCCACCTCTTCCTTGAAATCTCTTTCAGCTTTCAGCTTAGCATCGAGTCCGTTTTCAGCACCTGGGGCTCTTTCTGTGTGGCTGCATGGAGCCCTGAATGCAGACCTAGAAACACCCAGCCCCCCCATCTCTGTCCCAGGTCCCGCCCTCACCGACTTCTCCCACATCTTCCTTCTCTCCTCGTCCTTTCTTTCCTGCCCCTTCTCCTTGTCCCAAATAATGAGGCAACTCCATTGTGTGGTGCTGCGCCTTCTGTGTGCGCAGCCCTGTTGTAGGCACTTCAGGGAGGGCTTGAGTCACGCCTTCGGGAAGCCCTGGTCTGAGGAAGGAGCACGGTTCCATGAATGATTCTTAGAGTGAGAAGTAAATGGAGAAAAGTCCATCAATCCCACATGCCTCATCTCTCTTCTCTCTCACCCCTGGACTCTGGCACCATCTCACCTGTGTTCCCATCTATATTCTTGTTCTGGGTTCTAATTCATCCAAGAATTGGACCAACAGAGCAAAATGAGATTTTCTCATACTCCAGCACAACTAGTGACAGCTGCCAAGAGCTGAAGGTCTCCCACATGCCTGACACCATGCCCAGCACTTCAAATACTCTCAGTGAACCCTCACAATCTCTGTGAGATGGGGACTATTGTCACCTCCGTTTTACAGATAAGGATAGCAAGGCTCGGAAAAGTGAAGTCATCTGCCAAACTGGGAAGGGGCAGAGCTCAGAGCCAGAGCTCCCCCTATAGGAGCAACCAGCTCCAAGCAGTCAGTGAGGGAGGAGGGGCTAGGGAAAAAGCAGGCTTCCCATGCTCAGCCTTCCAGCTGCTGGCAGAGGCTGCTCTGGGAAATGCCTTCCCTGGACAGAGTCCCCTGGCATGGCCTCCTGATGGGTCTTCAGTTCAGACGGTGCCAGTCTGTTCCCCCTCCCGTGTGAGACGCATCAAGGCAGTGCCAGACACACGGGTGCTGCCTGGCAGGGGGGGAGGAGGAGAAGAGTGGGCTGGCTAGTGTCCCGCCTCTCCATCCTCCATCCTAGGGAGGGAGTGGAGGTCACCTTTGCCACCCATCCCCAGCCGTCTCAGTGACAGTCACCGCACCCCCCCCCAGCCTCTCTGGCCCCTACTGGCTGGCCTTGCTTCCACAGAATTGAGGTCTCATTCATCTTGCCAGACTCAGCCCTCTGCCTGGTCTTGGCCCTACACCCTCTCCCTTAATCCCAGGGAACCTCTAGTATTCCCCTGTGGCCTCATCTGCAGCTTGGCCACTGCTTCCCTGAGCCCTGCCTTCTTGGATGGTTTGCTGTGCTCTCTCTCAGCTGTGAAGGCAGGTCAGATTCTGAGTCCTAGGAGCCATCTCCCTGTTCCCCTCAGGTAGACTTACCTCCTTAGGCTCAGGTGACCTGCCTTGTTTACCCTACCTTGCCCTGGCAGGAACAAATAGCAGATAGTATAAGAGCACTCCTGGAGTCTGGGGACAGGTCCTTGAGAGGGGAAACAAGTGGGGCTGAAGTGGACACGGTATCAGGAGTGGGCTATGAGGTCATAAGACTGCAGGAAGGGGAGATGGACCCAGCTGAGCTGACAGATGGAAGAAGCGAGGCCAGAGAGAGCCAGGAGCAGGTCGGACACTCCACGGCCAGTCAGGTCTCCTGACTGGTCACACACTCGGCTCTAATTTCCTGGAAAAAAAAGGAAGCAATCTAGTTCATCGAGAGAAAGACACTTTTCAGCTGAGACTATTCTGGGAGGAATTATTTTTGTGTAGAATGGTTATTGAGAAGCAGAGATTTTTGCAGAAGAAGTTCAAAGACTTGTAGAATCTTGGGGCTGGAAGGGGTCTCAGAGGTCTCTGGTCTAATTTGCTCCCATTTCTCCCATTATTTTCCAGCCCATCTCCCTGCTCACACACCTCACACACCACCACACCATAAGGGAGCAGCCCTGACAGGGGAAAACTCTGTTTGGAGCTGAAAACTCTGGCCACTGCCCTTAGGGATGGGGACCTGGGTCTGAGGTTAGAAGAGCCAGGCCAACTCTGCTGGCCTTCTCTCCCACCAGCATCCAGCCTGGGCCTGGGCTGTTTCCAGGCTGCTCAGAGCCCTGCTCCTGCCCATCGGATGACTTTAACCCCGTTTGCGACCCCAGCACCCGTGTGGAGTATATCACTCCCTGCCATGCAGGCTGTACGAGCCGGGTAGTCCAGGAGGCCCTGGAAAAAAGCACAGTGAGTCAGGCCTCTGGCTGCTACCTGAGCTTCTCAGGGGCTCTGCCTTTCCCTGCCTCTCTGTATCTGTCACATTCTCCATCTCTCACAGAGGTTCTCACTCCCTGTCTTATCTCTCTTATCTTGTGCTGTCTGTCTTGTTCTTCTGTTGTGTGTGAGGGGGACCCACACTCACTTCTGTCGAGTCAATTCTGACTCATGGCAACCCCTCCTTGGGTTTCCCAGGTGGTATCTCTACAGAAATAGATTGCCCAATCTTCCTTCTGAGGAGTAGCTGGTAGGTCTGAACCATAAACCTTCTGGTTGGAAGCCAAATGGCTTAGGTACTACGCCACCAGAGCTCCCTCTGTTGGCAGAGGTAGGAAATTATTCTCTCTGTAAGCATTCATTGCTGGCACTGGCCCAGTCATGCGCCTGGGCACAGGTGTGAAACAGACCTGACCCCAGCTGAGGTGAGACACAAAAGAAAGTCACTCATGGGAACTCCAAAGGTGCTAATGGGCAAGAGAGTGGTCCCTACAAGTATACACACACGGAAGCAGATATATACCACCTGGGAAGTCTCCAAAGGCTTCATAGGAGGTGGCATTTGAACTACATCATCAGGGGTGAGGAGGCAAGATAGGGCTTGGAAAGAGAGTGTTCTCCAAGCAGAAGAAACAGCATAAGCAAAGATCTGGAGGCACACACACAAAAAAATATATGGAGTTTCAAGAAACTGCAAAAAGCTTGTTGGGGCAGAAGCCTAAAGGATTCATGGGGAGAAATCAAGGCCCAGACAAAGAAGGGCCTTAAATGCCAAGTTAAGAGTGGAGACATTATCCTACAAACAATGGGGAGCCGTGGATGGTTTTTGAGCAGGGGAGTGATAGAATTGAATATGTATCTGATCATGCTAAGGGCCATAGTGTTGAGAAGGGTGAACAGAGTGCAGAATAGGAGAGAGGGGGACCAGTGAAGAGACTGGTGCCATAACATAAGCCCATGCATTCATACATTCAGCCAGTTAGTCAGTTGACAAAACTTTGCTGAGCCCCTTCTCTGTGCCAGGCCCTGGCCCGGGGTAGAGGATCCAAAGCATTTGGAGTGATCACAATCCCAACTTCTCAGTCTCCTAGCATTCACTGTCCTGACCGTTTGATCTCTCCAAGAGCTCTTCTAGAGGCTTCCAGGCCCTGACGAAGGGAGCAAGTCCTGAAGGAGACTGTATTCTCCTGTGGATGTGGATCCCTGAGCGCTGAGGCCAAGTCACATGATAAAAATCCCTATTCTGCCTCCAACTGGCTGTTACCTTGGACAAATGATCTAAGTCCCATACCTCAGTTTCCTAGTCTGTGAAATGGAGGTGATAATATTATTGAGTGCTACTATAAGTCAGGCACTAGGCTAAATGCATCACTCAGATTAATTCATTAAATAGTAAGTGAAGAGTCATATGACATAAGGGGAGGGGAGCAGTTTGCATCCATACTGGGAAATATCTGAGCTTCAAAGGGCTGCAGGTGAGAGGTCCTGAGGGTTCCAGCTGCCTCAGGGCAGCCAGGCCACTGGAGGGCTGAGATCTGTCCCCACACAGCTGTCTCCCAGCCAAGGCCCTGGGTTGCTGGGACACTGGTTGAGAAGCTCTGATCCACAGGGAGGAAAATCTCAGACTTTCTACACCAGCTTTGCTCCTGTCAGGGTCCTGAGGGCACTGTCCATCCAGGCCACTTTAAAAAAAATAAATACATAAAAAATATTATAGTAAAATATATAGAATAAAAAGTCTGCCATTTTAAAATGTATGATTCAGTGATATTAGTTGCATTCAGAGAGCAATGTACAATTATCACCACTATCTATTTCCAAAAGTTTTGTGGAAACTCAGTACCCCTTTAGCAGTAACTCCCCAATCCCTTCTCCTCCCTCGAGTACTGGTGACCACTAATCTGTTTTTTGCCTCTACGTATTTGCCTACACTACATTATTTCATATAAGTGGGACCATACAGTATCTGTTCTTTTGTGTGTGACTTATTTCCTTCAGTATAATGTTTTCAAGGTTAATCCATGTTGTAGCATGTATCAGAAATTCATTTCTTTTTATGGACAAATAATGTTCTGTTGTATGGATAGACCACATTTTGTTGATCCATTTATCCGTTTCCAGTACCCCTCTTTGATAAGTTTTCCTTGGCCCTCACTTGTATTCTGGGGCTCCCATGGTGTTGTCTGCATTACTCCATCCTGTGCTTCTATCTTTCCTTGACATTCCTCTCCAGAACCCAGTGCCCTAAAAGCCCTCAGTCAAATGCAAAGGAAGGAAACTGAGCTGGAAAGCTTCTGAGCTCCTTCCCTAGAATCACTGGCTGCTGATTCCTTATACAGATCATCAGGAACTTGCATGTGTGTGTGTGTGTGTGTGGTGAGTGTGTGTGTGAGTTATGTGGTATGTGTGTGGTGTGTTATATGATGGGTGTGTTATATGATGGGTGTGTTATATGATGGGTGTGTGTGTATGTGTGCACGTGTGTGTTATGTGGTATGTGTGGTATGGTTATGTGGTATGTGGCATAGAGTATGTGCAAGTTATGTGGTATGTGGTATATGGTGTGGTGTGGCATGTGTAGGATGTATGGTGTGAGTTATATGGTATGCAGATGTGGTTATGTGGGGTGTGTGGGAGTTATGTGGTATGTGGTGTGTGAGAGTTACATGGCATGTATGTGTGTGTAGTGTATGTATAAGGGGTATAGTATGGGGGTAGTATTGCATGTGGGTGTGGTATGGTGTGTGTGTGTGTGTGTAAGGAGTAGGGTGTGAGGTATGTATGTGTTGTGTATGTGTGTGTGTTGGAGGGTGATGTTTTTCTCTTTCTCCACTTCCCTGTCTCTCCAAGACCTCAGCCCAGGCTCAGCCTAATTTGTGCACAGACAACCTATTAACAAGTACCTTCCTGCCTCCCCAAGTCATGCTAACATAGCCAAAAGTTGACATGTCCCAGCTGGCTATGTATCCCTGGGCCTGTCATGAGCCTCCCTGGGGCTCAGACCTGGGGGCAGCTGGCTTGGTTTGGGGAGGTCCTAAAGACTCTTCTCTCCTCCCCTCTACCCCCAGGTTTTCTACACCAACTGTAGCTGTGTAGTGGGTGGTGGTCCTTTGCCGTCGGGCTCCTGTGACTCAGCCTGCAGTTACCTGGTACTGCCCTTCATGCTCTTGGTCAGTCTGGGTGGAGCACTGGGCAGTATCACCCACACACCCTCTTTCATGCTCATCCTAAGGTGAGAGCAACACCAGGAAGTGGGGGTGGGCAGGGACAGGTGGACACCAAGAAGATCTTAGCCATAGGCAGGACAAGGAATTCTGAGAGAAGAGTCCCAGGAAGGGGTCCACTTGGATGCCTTGGGTTCCCACAACAGACTGGACTTCATTGTCCTGTTTTTATCCTTCTGGCAACCCGCTGAGACAGGTTTTCCCCCCATCTTCAGATAAGGAAACTGAGGCTCAGACAAGTTCCAAGAGCTGGCCCCAGGTCACATAGCAAGTGTTGTGTGAAATAGTACTGGTGCCTGGCCCAGCACCTATCTACCCTAGAGGAGCAGAGGCTGCATCTTGAGGCCCTGCCCTGGCCTCCCAGTTGGATTGAGGGGACACCACAATGTTTTCTCATGGTGAGGAGGAAATAGAGGAGCATCACCTGACTCCCTGGCCCTGTCCTATCTGCTGTGGACAAGCACAGGAGGTGTGTCCATAAAACCAAACTGTACCAGTGTGGTCCATGATTCCAAACAGTTTAAGTCAACAAGCACTCATGGCTTGTTATTAGCTGCTCACTCTATATCCAGCCCTCTGCTGAGCCCTGGTTCTTGGTACAAGATCCGTCTGAGATTGTCCTGAAAATGCTTGCAGAGCTTGTCATCTGAGGCCAAAGTCAGAGTCCTCTTTGGGTAGAGGAAGTGCTGGGATAAAGGAACCTCAGAGCAAGACAATTCTAATTTTTCGTTAAGCTGGTATGATTTCATTTTCTGTCTGCATTCTAGAAAATTAGGAGGGTAGAGCCCTTGAAAATATTAAAAGACACATAGATTCATAAAACAGGCTGGCATGAGAGGGGAAGTAGAGGAGTCAGAAGCCCAGCAGGCAGCCTAATTAAGAGGTGTTAAGAATGCATGCTCTGGGGTACACAAATCTTAGCTCTGATACTGGTTAGCAAGGATCTTAACGAAGTCACTTAACCTGTTTAAGCATCAATCTCCTTACCTATAAAATGGGCCTAACAATATACCTACCTCATAGGGATGATGTGGGGGTTGCAGTATAGAATGAATGAGCCCATAGAAGCACTCCATAATGCCAGCCATTATTAGGGGGAGCAGTGATTCCCAGGGGAGATCAATCTGAGAAGCTACAGTGGTTGAGAAGCTGAAAGGAGTATCTGGCTGTCCCATTTCCATGTCTTGCCAAGTATAGGAGGAAGCAGAAGAGGGAAGGTTTCCTTAGGAAGGGCAGCACAGGACCCTGATGGTCAGTGAGTGTGCCTAGTACAGGGGAACTACGCTCTACAGGTTGAAGGGAGATGGGGTGCTGGGCCTAAGGCCCCGGCCTTCAGACTGGGGGAGGGCTGGCCCTGGATGGTGGGAAAGAAGAGGGTGGTGAGAGCCCCTCCATGCTGCTACATGGCCCTTGGGGGCTGGAACTCTCCCAGTCCTCATGTTCCCAATGTCCTTCCTCATTAGGGGAGTGAAGAAAGAAGACAAGACTTTGGCTGTAGGCATCCAGTTCATGCTTCTGAGAGTTTTTGGTAAAGAGCCTGCTTGGGACAATTGGTGGTAGTGATGGGGTCCAGATACCCACTATGTACCGTACCTGGGGGCACAGGGATGAATGGGGTCTAATCCCTGAACCTGTGGCTCCCAGATACCTTCGAGGTGGTGAGAAGGAGCTAGACAACCCACCAGGGAGGCTACTTCTGATTCAAGGCTAAGGGGTGGGCTTGAGGATCAAAGACTTCTTAAACCAAAAGGCCCCTAGTGGCCCACAGCCCCTGAGAGGTATGTGTGTGCCAGGGAGTGTAGTGTGTGGGAAGGAATGCTGGACCTCCATTGTCCCCTGAACACCTCCTCTGCAGCCTGGATGCCCAGCCCTGTGATCCATGGCAGTGCCATAGACACCACCTGTGTGTACTGGGCTCAGAGCTGTGGACGTCGAGCTGTCTGCCGCTACTATGACCTGGACTTGTTCCGAACCCGGTGAGACCTGGGCAGAGGCTGCCAGGGTACTGTGGGAAGGGGGCTGGAAATACACTTGGGACCCAGGCAAGACACCAGCAGGGAAGGGGAAGCCCCACTACATCCACCTGCTGCATGGCAGATGCTGTATCCAGTGCTGAGCGCACCAGTCCTGTAAGCTAGACTGTCCCTGTGTTTTACCGATGAAGAAGTAAGAGTTAAAGCAAGTAGCCCAAAGCCACACAGCTGATAACTGGCAAATCTGGGACTCGAACTCATGCTGTATGACCATAGACTCTGTGCAGAGACCATGATATTGTTACAGGCTGGGCCTGGTGGAGAATCAAGTGAGTGGCTCACCTGTAACAGAGACTGAGGCTTGTTCCCTGGGCCCCAGTCTTTCCAACTATACAATGGGGAGCTCTAAAAAAACTGAAGGTAGAGGCTGCTAGTTCTAGGATGAATATGGAGGAGCTTGCTAGCAAGGCTGGGGTGGGGGGCTGGTCACCTCCAGCTTTGAAGAGGTTACGGTTGCTGTGGGCAGGGATTGTCCAGGGGGATTTCCTAAGAGAGGAAAAATCAAACAAGAGCCTTGGTAAGTTAGAAAAACAGGGGAGATGGAATCCTCTTTTTCTTGTGGTGGTTGAGGACATCCAAAGTACAATTATCAGGCCCCATGAGCTCTTAGAGAGGGGACAGCGAGAGATAGGACCATGCAGCAGGCAGGGACAGGGCAGGGATGATGCCCAGGCTTCCACCCCACCCTTGCTTGGGGCCACTTCTGCAGAGCCTCTCCCCCTCTTCTAGGGAAGAACCCCATAAGGGTCAACTCCAGAAGTTCCCCATGTCTCCCCAGCCATGGCCATGATGATAGGGTCTTCTGTCCCCAAGGCCTCAATGCCTCCCACTGCACAATAGGTGAGGACTGCTGACCCCACTATACCCCCAGCTGCAGGACATTCAAGCCCTGGACTGGGAAATCCTGTTCAAGGGCCCCCTGCTCTTTCCCCTAGGTTCATCGGCCTCCAGTTCTTCTTCAAGACAGGCAACCTGGCCTGCTTCGCCTTGATTTTGGCCGTCCTGAGGCAGCAGGGAGAAGAGGCAGGAGCCAAGAAGACCCTGCCCAGCCTTGGACTAGAGCAGGAGCAGTTAGATTCAGAGCCAGAAAAGAAGCTCAAGGAGTCCAAAGTGTGAGCTGTCTTAGAGCCCCACTGTGGCCAAGAGTGGCAGTTTCCAGCAGATACCTTCTCTGGGATCTTTTCCCTACACTTGGTGTTAGCAACCCTGTGTTTCAATTCTGGCTTCTCTGCTAAATTGCTGTGTGACTTCAGACAAGTCACTGACCTTCTCTGGGCCTTCATTTGCTCATCTGAACCAAGGCATTATTTGGGGGTTTGCTGTGGTAATCACTTCTGAGCAAGAGGGTCTTCCTTCCTCAGCCAACAGGCTGACCTTGAATCAACTTTCCTGAGTGGAAGGGCTATACATCTTTCCTTGAGGCCCAGGTCAGGGATGTAGACCACTGTAGACCAGGCTGCCCTTCATATTGGGCTCAGCCCAGGTCTGCCACTTGCCTGGAACACCTTTCTGAGCCTTACCCATCTTCTCTACACAGTTGACAATGGACTTGCCAGATTTCAGGCTCATTATACCTGTAAGCTTCTGTGTGGTCAAAATGAACTGTGGTCTCCCAATCCCCTACTCAGCCTGAAGGTAGGACCCAACCCACTGCCACTGAGTTGATTCTGACTCATAGCAACAGAGTGGAAGTCCCCTATAAGGTTTCCAAGGCTATAAAACTTTATGGAAGCAGAATGTCTCATCTTTCTACTGCGAAGCAGCTGGTGGGTTCAGACTGTCTATCTTTTAGTTAACAGCCAAAGGCTTTAACCACTGAACCACCAGAGCTCCTTGGGGCCAGGACAGCCTCTGTCAAGATGTGTCCCTTTGGCGCCCCCTAGAGGCTGAATTCTGAGCTAGGCTCTGAAGGGAGACAACACTGGGAGGAAGAACAAGCCTCACCCCAGCACATCTTGGCTTGGCAGGACATTCAGGGGGGCTGGTGTGAAAGCGTGAGGGACTCCAGTCTATCCTCAGTGGTCCTGCCCTCAGGGAGCTTAGCTGAGGGGGAGAGACTCAGTTTCAAGACTCAGGGAACCATAGAATGAGGGTGAGCCTAATACTTCTCTTTAGGGGCCTTGGTCTGGGGAGACATAGTCTTCACACTTGAGTAATTTTCTAACTTCAGAGACCAAACACGCAGCACACGCTCACTGGTATCAACAAATAGTCAAGATTTTGCACATTTTACCAGGTGCCATCAAAATCGTAGCAACCTCTTCTGTGAATGTTGTTGTTATGTGCCGTCCAGTCAGACCTGACTCAAAGCAACCCCTTCTTGGGTTTCCAAGGAGATATCAATACGGAAGTAGATTGCCCAACCTTCCAGTTTTACCAGTTCCTTAAACCACAGGAGGGGTTACTATAAGTTGGATCTGATTCGATGGCAGTGAGCTTGGTTTGGTTTGGTCTAGACGTCTGAGTTACCAGGGGCTGTGTAAATAATGTCTGATTTTGTGATATCAAGTGTTTTGGGGTGACATCTGATTATCTTCGGGGATGGTGTAAGGACTGGTTCTTTATAACACCCAGTCCTATCTATAATGCTGGGAGCAGTAATGTTCAGTTCTGCATAACAAGCAAGTTTTTGCAATGCTTAGGCCTGAACAACTCAGTCCTTTTCTACATCAAGCCTTGTCTTGTTTTATGTCCAATTCCATCTGGCCTAAGAAGACCTGGTGGGCATCATGGTTATACCCTTGGCAACTAACCAAAAGGTTGGCAGTTCAAAGCGACCAATTGCTCCACAGGAGAAAGATATGGCAGTCTATTTCCATAAAGATTAGTCTTGGGACTCTAGGGGGCAGTTCTACTCTGTCTTATAGGGTGGCTGTGAATTGGAATCAGTTCTCTGACCAGTTTATTTCCCTAGGAAGGGAAGAGAGTTTCCTGATCTGCTCCTAGCTCATTCCTCGTCACCACACACTCCACCAGGCAGATGTCCCCACCTGGTGGGGAAGGAGGGAGGAGATGGGAGCTGCTTCCCAAGCCCTGTGTTGGGGACTTTGGGATGAGCTGGGGCAAGGGTCAGGATACACATGGCTCTTGCCCTCTGAAAAACTCCCAGTGGCAGAGGTTTGCAGTTTTCTCACGTGAAAGAAGAGGGAAGTACAGAAGCTCTAATTCCCCATTTTATTCTATCAATCGATACCTTTACATCTTTAGCAAATATCTGAGCTGTGTTTATCAATGTCAAGAATTTCAAAGAGTCTCCTCCAACCAGATAAGACCTTTAGTATGTTTATATTTTTGTTTCCTTCCCTCCTGTTTCCCAGGTTTGCAGAAGTTATCTGGAATTATAGATATAGCTTATTATTAAATTTGTTCTTGCATAATGTCTCCTCTATTACAAAAATCCTTTCTTACAAACTGCATTAGAGTTTGCAACAACCACATTATTTCCAGTTATTTAGATTTAGATTTTACTAGATTCATTGTTCACCATTATTTCTTGTATATTATATCTTTCCCTATCTTTATATTTGGGTTTAATTTTCATTTGGCTGGGCTACTTCCTCTAGTAATGGTTTCAGAAATGGAATAAGGTCATGAGACTTCCGAAGTCCTCACCTATGCAAACTGTTATCCCCATTTTACAGAAGAAGCAATAGACTCAGAAAAGATAAGTGACTGCACAAGATCACACTGAAAATAAATAGTAGAGCCAAGGATGGATCCAGATTTGTGGGAACTGATGATGCTTATATAATTTGGGGAGCCCTCAGGAGGAAAAAGAATATAAAATTAGGTGAGAAAGTGAATGTTTACTTAGAATGAAGAAATAAGTCGAAACAAATATATCACACAATCTAGACAAAAATAGCATAATGTTTTTATTAGCTATTTTACTGCCTTACATATCTCTAAAATACTTTTTTCCCCTTTATGATTAAAAGAATTTCCCACAAACTAGTTTCTGGCTTCATATATTTCAAGTCTTGTTTCTCCTCCACTGCCCAGGTACTAATAGGCCAGGCAGCATAAGACACATTCATATCATGATATGACCTCTGAATTTAACATCACAATGCCAAGTGAGTCAGAGAGTCAGTAGGGATATTCCTAGAAGCCATTCCCTACACAGAAATAGCTAGCAATGATTTATCTATACACAGAAGTGACTAACAACCACATAAACGTATCCTGATGAGCCAAAAATAACTCTATCCCCAGCTTGACTCCCCCCAACTTGACAGACCCCAGAAATGCCTGTGGCTACTCACATCAAGGAAATTGTAACACAAGGGAAGACAGAGTAGAAAGAAATGATTGTAGATAAAGAAGTATCTTGTCTTTCCAAATTTCACAAAGCCATCACTATGTGAACACATTGCTGGGGCCCCTCCCAGGCCAATCAGGGCGAGGAGACTCTAGGAGTCACCACAAGAGTGACATGAGGCTAAGAGCCAGCCAAGAGATGGAGCAGGTGAAGGCCAAAGAGTTTCCCAGGGACTGAGAGGTCCAGGGAGCAGCCCTCTCCCCTTAATAGAGACTCTGGTCAATGAGGAGCCACAAATTTGCATCTGTGAACTCACTTTCTTCTCATTCTGTACCAATAGAAAGTCAAGTGTCCCCACTGTATTCCACTGATGGTAAAATCCAGATCCCACATAAAGTCAGAGGACTGTGTTGAGACCAGAACTGGCATCCTGACACCCAGCCCTGAGCTGCATCTTCCTCTAACTGCACCTTGTGCAGGGAAGTTACAGAGTACGCAGATGCTCCTCAGGACCTGGGAGCCAGCATCCAGGATTGAAGCCCAAATAAATGAGGAGCAAGAACCCACAGACATCCTCACCATTCCGTGGACATTGTTGAATTCTTTCTCACTACCATGCTTTTAAGGAGCAATGGTGGTACAATGCATAATGGCTTGGCGGCTAACAAAAAAGTTGATGGTTCAAACCCACCAGCAGCTCTGCAGGAGAAAAGACCAGGAAATCTGCTCCCATGAAGATTATTGCTGTGTGCTTTTGAGTTGATTCCAACCCGTAACCTATGGGACAGTTCTACTCTGTCACATAGAGTTGCTATGAGTCTGAATCAATTCAGCAACAGCTTGCACTGTTTCCCCCACCCAGATTGCCTTCTTCATGCCTATAGACTTTCCATTTTTAAATGCACACAAACACAATTATGCATACAATTTCAGAGGTTGAGGACCATCTGGAACTGTGCTGTAGACCTCCTAAGAGTTCAGGACCTCAAGTCAAAAACTCTTAGAGTGAAAAGAACAGACCTACATTCAAATCTTGACTCTGCTGCTTACTTACTGATGGTGTAGCTCTGAACAAATGGTTTAACTTCTCGGCATCTCATTTGCTTCACCTGTAAAGTGAGATTGATCATATTTATCTCCTATCTCCCAAAGTTGGGAAGACCAAATAAGAAAAACAGTCAATCACAGACACATTACCCTGTGATCAATAATTAAGTTTCCTTCCTCTTCCTCTGTTCCTAAAAGAGTTTAATGAGCACATAGAGCATGGGGGTGGGAGGGTGCAGTGAAGACAGAGGGAAGAGGCACTACTAAGAGGAGACACACTGCCTCTACCTTACCCTGCTCCAGCTCCACTTGTGCCCTAATCTCTCTTCTCCTGTCAGCCAGGGCTCAGCCAGCCCTGTCTTATCTCTCCCCACAGCCAGCCTGGGACAGCTTTTCTTAACCAGATTTACATTTTTATTGATTTTCTTTCTCCCTTTCTTCTGTTTCCCCTTTTGCTATAAAATGGGCTTACCCTGGTGTCCTAGGCTGGGTTTTCTAGAGGAGCAAAGCCAGCGAAATTGTGTACGTGTGTGTGTATGTATACATTATACATATATATATATACACATACATACATATATATATATATAACCCACAGACATTCTCACCATTCCATGGACATTGTAACATACACGTTACACAACCTCTCTCCTAGGCCAGATAGTGATAGAGATAGAGATATTTATTTCAAGGAAATGGCTTATGCAGTTGTAGAGGCTGACAAGTCCCAAATCTGTGCTTCAGGAATCAGGCTGGAGGCTTCTCCTGACTCACATGTTTGCAGGGGCTGATGAGCCCAAAATTGGCA